TATGAGTCTTTAAATCTTTCATGTTTTGAAATTAAATTCCTCAAATCATGAAAATTGTTATAAAGTCTTACAATTCTTTAGTTAATTAGGAATTGATCTCTCAAATCATTAAAATTAATATTGGACTCCTTAACTTTTAAATTTTTATTTTGAAATTATTCCCTTCAATACAATGTTGAAGCAAATACTACAGAGATTAGTTTAAAAAAGGATTGTGAGAATTAGAGGATCTAATAACATTGCTATTAACTTGAGGGATTAATTTTAAAATAATTTGAAATAATAGAAATTTCAGTGGTTTGAAGGCTATCTAATTTTAAAAAAAATGTTTAATTCTTTATTTTAAGTAACAAACTCAAAGTTTACCTCCATTTTATTCTGAAAATCGTGTATTTCGGCCTTTTTTCCCTTCCAATATTAATGTCTTACAACTCTCATAATTTGAAACAAATACCTTAAATCATGAAAAATGCTATCATACCCAATCGATTCTTAACTCGACCTTTTTTCTTCTAATATTAATGTCTTATATATAACTCTCATATTTTGAAACAAATACCTTAAATCATGAAAAATGCTATCATGCCCAATTGATTCTTAACTCATTTAGAGTTGACTACTCAAATTATTAAAATTACTAATGGATCCTTCGGTTCTTAAATTATTTTGAAATGAGCCCCTTTAATAAAGAGTAATAGTAATAATTGAAGTCATTAACTTGAAATGATTACGAGAATTATGAGACCTGATGACAAATTCAATGAGTTGAGGGATTTATTTGAAAATAAGTAATTTATTAATATTATAACTCCTAAAAATATTTTTATCCACAAATAAAAAAAATATTTTCTAAAAAAAATTGCTAAGCAAATTTTTTTTAACTTTTTTACACAAATGTTGTGACTACGTGTGGGTCAATTATGATTGTTGTCAGCTATACTCTTATGACTCTGACAATGAACTTCACAATTTAAGTATACCCCACTTATTTACATTCTCATTTCTACGTCATTTGTGTTGCACTTGGACACAATAACTTAATTTGATCCCAAAATTTTAGCAAGCCTATAGATTCATTACTATAACTAGCAATCCTGATTGACAGTCATCTACAGCAAATCAATCAACTTACTATTTTTTCATTTAAACACCCAAAAATTATTTCCATTAATGTTTTATTATAAATCTTTATTTATTTATTTATTTATTTTTGATTCACTTCATCAATTATATCTCCATAAAAAAATTCAGAATATCAAATAAATATGATCATAAATAATGCGTGTGTACTATGCTTTTAAATCTAAAAGCCTGACCCAGGAATGAGCATCGTCGACGTCTCTAGTAGACTGGAGGGGGGTAAATAATACAAAGTTGCAAATGCATAACTATGTTATAGTATAGTATAGATGTTGAACCCATGAAGAATGTGTGTATTTAAAAAATTTAAAATTGTTTCTAGAAGATTGTGGTAAAAAAGAGTGAAAGTTGAAGTGTAGAAATATAGGGAGGGATTTTGTGATGCCCCCGGGTTCACACAAGCCTGCAGTCCAAGGTAAAATCAAAGATGTCAAACCTGCTATGCATCCATACCATGCAACGACATGTTTTTACACTTCAGTGTGCCTTCACGCGTAGAAGATGAGGGCACAGTCACACTAGGAGGACAGGTGAGATCACCAAGAATGATATTGATTGAAGAAAGAAATTCTCTAGGTTAGGAGAAGGTGCTTACTAAGGGCATCTCCAATAGCTTCTCTAAAATTTTATCTAAAATGAGGAAGCAAAAGTCATATTCTCCAAATTATTTTTACATCAACTCTACCAGCTTCCCCATTTTGAAGAATTTATTTTTTTTTCCTCCATAAAAATGGAGAATGCTGCAGATTTGGGGAAGCTTTCCTATTTTTTCTCCTCCATTCCTATTTTGAGGAATGAGATGGGAAATCTGTTAGACCAAAAACCTAATTAAATTCTTCAAAAGTGGGAAATGGGGAAGCTGTTGGAGATGCTCTAAGATGGCTGGAGTTCAAGAGAGCTTGTTAATGGAGGTTTGGTCTCCAAGTGGGAGATTGTTGGTTTTAGGGGTGTAGACCCAAACTTTGGAACAAGCATGTACAACAGGATTTTTTCTAAGTCTGGAAATCAGGCGAAGCAGGCCAACTTCAGTTCAGACGAACTTCAGTTCAGGCGAAGTAGACGAACTTAAGTTCAGGCGAAGTAGACGAACTTAAGTTCAGGCGAAGCATGTGAACTTCAATTAAGACGAAGCAGGCGAACTTCAGTTCAGACGAACTTCGCAGTTCATGCAAACTTCGCAGTTCAGGCGAACTTCGCAGAAAACAGATTCCTATTATGTTTCATTTTTATGGTTTTCCTATAAATAGGGATGTGACGGCTGCGTTTTTCCTACTGCTGCTATTTCTGATTTTTAAGAGCGATTTTAGCTGCGATTTTCAGAGAAAATTTAGTACTTTGAGATTAGAGAACTCAGAGAAAGAGATAGTCATTTGCAGGCATTGTAATCTTCATCAATAATCAAAGATTTTCTGGTGTGGCTGCCGAGGACGTAGGCACGTTTGCCGAACCTCGTTAAATCTGGTGTTCTCTTTATTTATTTATTCTTTCTTGCAAATTTTTGTTTTGTTGTGATTTCTTGCTTGTTATTCTTTCGACACAAGATCCGAAGGGCACGTTGTAAGGAGGTTTTCAGACAAGTTGTCGATAGATTAACCCCAACAAAAAAGCTTTAACAAGACTTGCTACACATGGTGAGTCTTTTTAAAGTTTTCTTTTTTTCAATCATCTTCAATTAACACTCTCCAGAATCCAGATTCCACCAAAAATTCACACTTCAGGTAAGTACATATCTTATTTGGCAATTGGCGCCTTAGCTCAAACTCTTTGACAACCATCCAAATTTCAACTATTTAAGTTTCATTATCTATTATGTGTAAGACATTGGTCATTTGAGCACAATATTGATGAGAATAACATAATAAGATAAACAAGTGAAGTCATCTAGGCATCCTTGCTCTAGTGGTTCAGTTATAAAGCAAACATAATTGCCTTTTAGATATTAAAAGATAGAATTACGCCTTTAGGTACCAAAAAGTTACAAATTTTCATAGAAACCCGTTAATTATTACTAAAACACCAGAAATTTTCTTAATTTATAATTAAATGCTAAAAAACAACACTAAATCTTCATAATTTCATAGAATAAACCCAAAATTTGTGATTTCATAAATTTACAAAGAATCCTAGAAGTTTATAAATTTATAGATTTAACCCCAATGAACTTCATAAAAGTACTGAAGCTCATAAAATTATATTCACGTGCAAAGATAAAAAGCTTTAACAAGACTTGCTACACATAGAATGGGCACAATATGGACAATATAAAAAGCTACTTGTTTAGTTTAACAGTTTCAATTTCCAAGATATAACAATAATTGGTATATAAGAGCTTTAAATGTTCTGATCATGATCAAATACTTTGACCATGGCTTTTTTAAACTGAAAGCTACAGAGTTAAGTAACACATCCTATTTGGTTGTCATCGTGCATAGTTGTGAATCTATGATCATGGGAAAAAGCTTAAAGATGATTTCTAAAATTCCTACAAGCTCAACCAAATAATTTTCCAGAATGATTTAACTAATTGCAAAAAGCTAGCAGAATGATTTAACTAATTACAAAAAGCTAGCACCCCCCATCCAAACTCTTAGTGAAATCATCTTTAAGCTTGTACAATACCCAAACTCTTAGTAAAATTTCACTCCTAACCGGTCTAATTTAAAACCAGTAGTATATACAATAAAGTCGATATTAGTGATATAACATGCAGGATTATCACCAAAGAAATTATAAATGTCATCTAAAAGTTCCTTTTCTCAACAACAAGTTAAAAAATTGAGATAACAGAGATAACGAAAAATTTTATTTTACCTTGACAGCGTTGTACTCCTCTATCGACCTCAGATTCCTGACATCAACAATAATCAATTTATAAAAAAGAAGGTAAGTCATGAACCAATCAACAAGAGAATAAGAAATAAGAATAGGGAAATAATGATAATAATAATAATAACAATAATAAGACTAACCAATACATACAATTGAAAATAAACTTCTTCTTTGCCCCATCTCTAAGTGAACCAATACCTAATTTATACAACCATAAAATAACCTAAATTTTCAGTTAATAAATGAAAATCCCTAGAAATTAGTACCGTTTATAATAACGGCTAAAATTGAGAGGGTTGAAAAACGGACGAAATGAGGAGGCGGGGGAGAGAAACTAAGGAGAGAGAGGTTAGAAAATAGAGGAATCGGAGATGAGGATGTATAGGTTCGAAAT